ACTGTACATGATCTACATCCCAACTTATATTACACAGCTGTTTGTACAACATCTACTGTACATGATCTACATCCCAACTTATATTACACAGCTGTTTGTACAACATCTACTGTACATGATCTACATCCCAACTTATATTACACAGCTGTTTGTACAACATCTACTGTACATGATCTACATCTCAACTTACATTACCCAGCTGTTTGTACAACATCTACTGTACATGATCCACATCCCTAGTTATGTTACACAGTTATTTGTACAACATCTACTGTACATGATCTACATCTCAACTTACATTACACAGCTGTTTGTACAACATCTACTGTACATGATCTACATCCCAACTTATATTACACAGCTGTTTGTACAACATCTACTGTACATGATCTACATCCCAACTTATATTACACAGCTGTTTGTACAACATTTACTGTACATGATCTACATCTCAACTTACATTACCCAGCTATTTGTACAACACCTACATCCCAAGTTATGTTACCCAGCTATTTGTACAACACCTACATCCCAAGTTACATTACCCAGCTATTTGTACAACACCTACATCCCAAGTTATGTTACCCAGCTATTTGTACAACACCTACATCTCAAGTTACATTACCCAGTTATTTTTACAACACCTACATCCCAAGTTATGTTACCCAGCTATTTGTACAACACCTACATCTCAAGTTACATTACCCAGCTATCTGTACAACACCTACATCTCAAGTTACATTACCCAGCTATCTGTACAACATCTACATCTCAAGTTACATTACCCAGCTATTTGTACAACACCTACAACCCAAGTTACATTACCCAGCTATTTGTACAACACCTACATCTCAAGTTACATTACCCAGCTATTTGTACAACACCTACATCTCAAGTTACATTACCCAGCTATTTGTACTACAATCACATTACAAGGTACGTTACTTACATTTTAAAGTTTAGTGATACAAACTTTGGGCTACAATCTTCTACTAATAATGAATAGATACACATAATAATTAACATGGAATACCCTAAAATGACATAAACAACTTTGTATGTGAACTTACCAAATACAACTACATCCATGAGTGACTTACTTTCCAATGCACACCTTGCCATTTTTGGTGCAAATGTTTTTCGTACCTGCAAAAATTATACCAATAGGATCTAGTAAGAAATAATCACATTCTATAAATCAAGCACTTGTGTACTGTTCAATTCTATAGGGTATTTCTCGATGACAAAATATTTGTTGTGTTTTTTTTACTAAAATGATTTCTGAACTACTGTAAAATGTTTAGATATTTTTTAGAATGGAAAAAAATACCATGCATTTTAAACTTACCCTTATTATTGTGTTACATTCTTTGTTTAGTGAATAGGTATAAAAAATTAGCATTATATTTAACAAAACCTTGTGAAATGGTACGGAACTTCTATAAACTAATTATGTAATTTAACTTGTACATTATAATATGATTAAGTTAAAAGTTTTTGGTTCTGTATGCATTAGAATATTTGTAACCATCAAAGAATAATCAACTTTCTAAACACTACTGAATTAAAGTTGATGTAAGCCTTGAACTGCAATTTATAAACAATATACTTATGAAGTAATGTGCTTGTTGAAACTAGTAAGTTTTGTAACAAGGATTCTGTTACTTTTAGTTTTTGTCCCTCTGTGTGCTGCAGTCTCCCCAGATGTAACTCGTCGAGTTTCTGAAGGGCAGACAAAAACTGGTTGTGTGATTTTTTCAGTCTTTCACAGAAGTGGTAACAAATTGAACGAGCAAGACGAGTCTCACTGGTACTGTCTAGTAATACCCTCGCCACATTCTTCTTCCATTCAGAGTCAATTTTTGGAGATATTTTCCAAGACACATTCTGAAACATCTATGGGATAAAAACTTCTGATTTCTTTGATATTTATTTCTATACATTTTGTGGCATAATATTGTAAGTCATCAATTATTTCTATTCTTATGATACCAACTGTATGAGAATCCCAAACATAGGTTTTGTTAAAGGTGAAAATTTTGTGTTTTATATGTAAATAATCATTCTTCCAGAGTTATGTCTGACATATAATTACATATTGTTTTCAGTGTTAAAAAGTCTAACGTCACTTGTGCTACTCAGTGGGTTTATAACCGTCACTCACCTGTTGCATATTGTTTTCATTATTAAAAAAGTATAACGTCTCTTGTGTTATTCAGCAGGTTTATAATAATCACTCACCTGTTACAAATTGTTCTCATTGTCAAAAAGTCTAATGTCTCTTGTGTTACTCAGCAGGTTTATAATAATCACTCACCTGTTACAAATTGTTCTCATTGTTAAAAAGTCTAATGTCTCTTGTGTTACTCAGCAGGTTTATAATAATCACTCACCTGTTACAAATTGTTCTCATTGTCAAAAAGTCTAATGTCACTTGTGCTACTCAGTGGGTTTATAACGGTCACTCACCTGTTGCATATTGTTTTCAGTGTTAAAAATGCTAATGTCACTTGTGCTACTCAGTAGGTTTATAATCATCACTCACCTGTTACATCTGTTTTCATTGTTAAAAAGTCTAATGTCACTTGTGCTACTCAGTGGGTTTATAATGGTCACTCACCTGTTACAAATTGTTCTCATTGTTAAAAATTCTAATGTCACTTGTGCTACTCAGCATGTTTATAATGGTCACTTACCTGTTGCATATTGTTTTCATTGTTAAAAAGTCTAATGTCACTTGTGCTACTCAGTAGGTTTATAGCAGTCACTCACCTGTTACAAATTGTTTTCAGTGTTAAAAAGGATAATGTCACTTGTGTTACTCAGTAGGTTTATAACGGTCACTCACCTGTTGCATATTGTTTTCAGTGTTAAAAATGCTAATGTCACTTGTGCTACTCAGTAGGTTTATAGCAGTCACTCACCTGTTACATCTTGTCTTCAGTGTTAAAAAGTCTAATGTCACTTGTGCTACTCAGTGGGTTTATAATGGTCACTCACCTGTTACAAATTGTTCTCATTGGTCAAAAAGTCTAATGTCACTTGTGCTACTCAGTGGGTTTATAACGGTCACTCACATGTTATAAACCTACTGAGTAGCACAAGTGACATTATCCTTTTTAACACTGAAAACAATTTGTAACAGGTGAGTGACTGCTATAAACCTGCTGAATAGCACAAGTGACATTAGCGTTTTTAACACTGAAAACAATATGCAACAGGTAAGTGACCATTATAAACCTACTGAGTAGCACAAGTGACATTAGAATTTTTAACAATGAGAACAATTTGTAACGATCACTCACCTGTTGCATATTGTTTTCTGTGTTGAAAATGCTAATGTTACTTGTGCTACTCAGAAGGTTTATAGCAGTCACTCACCTGTTACATCTTGTCTTCAGTGTTAAAAAGGATAATGTCACTTGTGCTAATCAGCAGGTTTACAATAGTCACTCACCTGTTTCATCTTGGATACGACAACATGAAGAAGAGAGGCACTAGTATTGAATGTGACATCAACCTATCAATAAAATCATTACAAGACGTTTTCACTTACTATAAAATAAGCAAACATGACACAGAAACTATTATATCATAATTATACCTAAGCCTTACACTTTTTTAACTTGTAATTAATCTCCAAATGTTTTTGTTTTTTCTCATTGATAAACCTAACTGACATCATTGAGATTATAAAAGCAAGCAATTAGTTGCAATTAAACAAGACAGAAAATAAATATTAACCTTTAGGCTTTCTTTACTTATTCTCTCTGTAAATGTTGTCTAATTTGTAAAAATATTCCAGATCATTAAGCTTAAATAATTAAGATGTAACCTATGTCTGTTTGTTTGTTTGTAATTAAGCACAAAGCTACACAATGCTGAGGTAATGTTGGTAATTTTACTAATTTACAAAGTTTACAAAATCAATCATTGTCAGATCCCTTTTTAAATATCTTGCAAGTGTTTGTGTATACATAACTTCACTATATAAAATAGCACTGTGTTTTACATACTATGTCCTTATCTCCAAAGAGACAATTTCACATTAACTTCTCGCTTAAGTCAGACTTTGTTATTAGTTGGTTAACTTTTTCTTATAAATCAAAGAGACTGTAAAATGTAAATACAAGTTTTTATCCTAAAAAGTGTTAGTAACTCAAATTTATAAATAAAATTGATCAGAATTTCAAACATTTTGGGGCATTTCATTTTTTAAAGAGGATAAAAAAAAAAAATATTGTCATAACCTGATAAGCTGCATTGAGAATTTGTCGAAGTGAACTACTTGCTTGACAAAAACTTTCATCTTGGTAATGTTTTTCTAAACTAACAAGACAGCGTTCCAGGGTACCTAGAGTTAAAATTCTTGATTAAAAGTTGTCATCAAACTCATATACCAGTACAGCTTAAATTTTATAATCAACTGAAAATGTATGAACGTTTTGGTTTTACTGGACTTACTAATTAGCCAATATTAACCAACTAAGAAAAATATGATATTTTTATTAAAACTCACATTAGTTCTAAATACAGTTAGTTAGTTAATTTTTTATGCAGAACATCATATAAATTGAAACAGAACTATTGCAATACATTTGATGAATTGTTTCATACAAGAAGAGATATTTAAAGGTAAGCTAATAAATGTTTGTCAATAAACTGTACCATAATAGTTTTGATGTACAAAGTAATATACTTATTGCAAAATATTTCATACATAAAATTATAACTTAAGTGTTTACCAGTACAAGATTTTGATTCATGCCTATAAACTTGTAACTTGGGTGGCTAACATGGGATAAAATATATTTTTACTTTTTGCAGGTTACTAATTTTTTTGTATGACATAAGTTCAAGCATTCTAGTACTACAAACAGACCCTATTTGATCACACAGTTTTCTCTCCCACACTGCCAATGGGGAAAAACTTGAAAATGGCAGCAGAAACATCGGATATAAACTAGTTAGTAATTTTTAATCTAGTAAAAAACAAAATGAAAACTAATTTATAACAGGTGATTTTTATAGGCTACTAACTATAACAGTGACTGCTATCTAAACAAAAAAACCTTACTTTAAGAATTTAATATATAACTATGTTATGCCAGATCTGGTATAGAATATTACCATGTTATACCAGGTCTGGTATAGAATATAATCATGTTATATCAAATGTGGTATGGAATATAACCATGTTATACTATATCTGGTAAACTATAACCATGTTACACTATATTACAGAACATAATGATGTTATTATAGATGTGGTATTTGGTTACCATGTTATTTAAGGACTGGTGGAGTACATTACCATGTTATACACATACTAACCAATATAACTGTCCTGAAGGCAACTCAATGATCCAACCAACTTCTCAGCAATTGCTCTGTTTAATGAATCTAATATTAATTGCTGAATTTCTGTTGTACAGATCTGAAGATTTTGGTTAGAAACTTTCTCCGTTTCACAAATACAAAGACCTGCAAAACAATACATTAAGGTATTATTTACACAAGTTTAACATTCTAACCATTCTTAAAAACAATACATTAAGGTATTATTTACACAAGTTTAACATTCTAACCATTCTTAAAAACAACATATTAAGGTATTATATACACAAGTTTAACATTCTAACCATTCTTAAAAACAATATATTAAGGTATTATATACACAAGTTTAACATTCTAACCATTCTTAAAAACAATACATAAAGGTATTATATACACAAGTTTAACATTCTTAAAAAAGGTGAATGTGAAAGATGTGTATTAGAGTAGAAACAGTTTTGACTTGGGTAGCTCAAAAGCTTAGTGGCAAATACTCAAGCCCTCCATTGAGCAGGAGAGTTTTTGGAGTTTAACTACCCAAATTATTTTTAAAACCTGGAGAAAATTTCCTACTATTTTCTACATTCTGGATAAGTGGAGCCATTTTTATACTTGACAACATTACTGAGTAGCTTCAGTTGCCACGGTGGTACAGATGCTATGTCCTGAGTTAATTAGGTTTCGTTGGCTGTCATGAATTCACACCCAAATGAAACATTAAACAAAGTATTCTAATGTTTTTGATACATTCAAATTAGATAAAAGTGTCAGAGAATCATCTTTTAAGGCCCATATTGCTTTACTTGTTATTGTTTCTTAGAGTTAATAAAAGCACCCTTTAATAAATGGAGGGTTTTAGCCCCACCCCAGGCTTGAAGCTGGAGGTCTCCACCCATTAGTTCCTATCCCAGCTACAATTTATAAAACTGTATTAGAAAATAATTGGTTATTAAAATGCATTAAATGTAAAAAAAACTTCAGATCCAAAACTCTCAAACCCCTGTAGAACTTTCAAGATCATTAGAAGAGAAACTCTCAAGCCCCTGTAGATCTTTCAAGATCATTAGAAGAGAAACTCTCAAGCCCCTATAGATCTTTCAAGATCATTAGAAGAGAAACTCTCAAGCCCCTGTAGATCTTTCAAGATCAATAGATCTTTCAAGATCATAAGAAGAGATTTTTACCCTCTCTCGAATAAGCAGTTGGAAAGAAAACATAATAGTAACTGAATTTCTAGAGCTGTGCATGTGTTTGTCTTTGATATATATATTTAAAAAATATGTTGTAAAAGGTAAGAGTGAAAAACAAAATGCAAATGTGTTTTCTTTCCAGCAGTGTCTTCAAATTCTAATGTAAATTTCTTTATTACCAGAATACCTCTTCAAGTTGTTAACATAGTCTTGTGCATCATGTTACACAAGTTATCAGGTAAAATAAATATCACAATTTTTTAGAAAAATGTTCTTCCTGGGTAATAAAACATCTTAATAATAAATTATTTCAATTTCTAATCAAAGTTATCTTACTCTGGAACTCCCAGTTAAAAGCCTGCTCTATTAGCACTTCTCTCATTTCACAAACTGTAGCCACTATCAATTCTCTAATCTCTTCTTGTTTCTTACTAGCTACAGTCATCAAAGATGAATAGAGTTCACTTTCTTGTTTACGAGCATACTCTAATCTTTTGGGAGTCATTAATAGATCTCTGGTCATATCAAAGGCTGCAAGAATGAACGTTCGTAGACAGTTGTTGTGGGCTTCGTTTAAAAAGGAAGTTGTTTTCACTAGAAGAAACTGTAAAATATGGCGAACATATAACAGGATGCTGAAAATAGAAATAAAAATGTTGAAGCAGCAAAACATCTGCACATTAGCTCATACATACTAGTTGAACATTGCATAACAGCCATATAAACTAGTTGAATAAAGCAGTGAAACATCTGCATGATAGCACAAATATAAACTAGTTGAATAAAGCAGTGAAACATATGTGTAACAGCCATATAAACTAGTTGAATAAAGCAGTGAAACCTATGCATGATAGCACAAATATAAACTAGTTGAATAAAGCAGTGAAACATATGTGTAACAACCATATAAACTAGTTGAATAAAGCAGTGAAATATATGTGTAACAGCCATATAAACTAGTTGAATAAAGCAGTGAAACATGTGTGTAACAGCCATATAAACTAGTTGAATAAAGCAGTGAAACATCTGCATCACAGCCATATAAACTAGTTGAATAAAGCAGTGAAACATGTGTATAACAGCCATATAAACTAGTTGAGTAAAGCAGTGAAACCTATGCATGACAGCACATAAAACTACTTGAATAAAGAAGAGAAATGTGCATGATAACACATATAAACTAGTTGAATAAAGCAGTGAAACATATGTATAACAGCCATATAAACTAGTTGAATAAAGCAGTGAAACATCTGCATCACAGCCATATGAGCTAATTGAATAAAGCAGTGAAACATATGTATAACAGCCATAACTAGTTGAGTAAAGAAGAAAAGCATGCATGATGGCACATATAAGTTAGTTGAATAAAGCAGTGAAACATCTGAATCACAGTCATATGAACTAATCAAATAAAGCAATAAAATATATACATAATAGCCATATAAAGTAACTGAATTAAGTAGAGAATCAATTTTAAGGTTTTGCCAGGGCATCACTTGATATTAGGTATGTATTAAAAGTCTGTAACTTATATGGTCATGTTTAATTTACTCTAACTACATTTAAATAATAAGAAACATGATATAATTTATGTTTAATATTACTTGCAGTAAACATCACAAATCTGAAGATGTAAATATGTAACAAACAGTCTCTGACCTTGGAAAGTTTTCAAAGTTTTCTACTAGTTCACTTTCCAACTCAAGTTGATCACTGTATGACGTATATGACTTCATTCTAGCTCTGGGTGGTAAAGGATTCAAAAACCCCAAAGCACACAGTTGTTGATACACAGATAGGGGGGCATTGTGAAATCTGGAACCTACAGACTCGCCTCTTCTATGGCCATTCCGAAAATGATGTGAAGGATAGTACTCCTGGCATGAATAACGCCGACATCGTCTGTGACTGGACAATTGAGCTTTCCGTGCATGCTGTTCAGATTCTGTTAGTTCACATGTTGGGGAAGGTTTAGAACAGACAAAAAACATAGGATCCATAGGAGCCAACTTCTTAAAACGTAGCAAGTCTACAACTTCCTGTTTTAAAGATAAGTTGTTTAGTTTTCTACCAATAAATTATTCCCAGAAACCACAGAAAGTTTAACAATGAATATTACAGAAATCCTTATTGCAACCAAGAGAAAAATGAATTATACATTAGGAGTATATAAATTTACAAATTTATCTCTTTCTGAAATGCATCCCACATTATCCAAAAAATCCATTTACATTTCTCAAAATATCTGTCTTCTATTCACCAGTAGATAACCTTATGGTTTGTTTTTAAAAACAAAAGAAATATTTAAATTAAGTGTAATCATTCAAATTGGAAGTTTAGAATCTAAGTTATATGCTAATCAGAATATTTCACTATCAGAACTGGATTGGATACACAAGTCACCAGAAACTTTCCTAGTAAGCTGGTCCCAAAAATAAGGACCTGAAATATGACCCAGTAGTTGAAATTTGTAAAAGTACAATTTAACAATTATTAATAACTGTTAACACAAACACTCCCTCACCTCTAGTTGATGTTCTTGAAACAACTTGGTAGGGTGTAGGTTGACCACTGCATTTCAGATGACTAAGAAAAAAAAATCTCTCCAACCCTGGCTACTAAATTTACAATTATTGGTTAATGTTTTTAAATTTAAGATTTAAAATTATTAATTTATCTTGTACAAAGTTTTGTTTCTGAGTTCTATTCACTGAGATAGTGTAGACTGAAAGGTTAGAAAGTTTTCACAATGTCTTTGAAAAATACAATAATGTTTAATGATAAAGCCCTAGTTGCCACCCCACTAATTGTGTTGTTTGTACTGGCTTCCTTAGCTGAACACAGTACAATGAAAAAATAAAAGTTTTACAAAAATCCTTATAAATCAATTAGTAACAGTAACAGACTGGGAATATTTTACCTTTTCTGACAATGCTTCATCTTTGTAACAGTAGATGAAAATGGGTGTTACTCCTGATATACACTGCTGAACCACTTGTTCAAAGTCATCATGATGATACGATGGAGAAACAATAACCTGGACATTTTCTTGAAGGAGCGAATGCCTTAGTTTTATCTCAACTGGATTATTAGTCAAACCACTTTGGTTTTCATTCTGTTCAACACAGACAGTATCATATTACTGTACGTATTATCTGTTCAACACAGACAGTATCTTATTACTGTATGTATTATCTGTTCAACACAGACAGTATCATATTACTGTATGTATTATCTGTTCAACACAGACAGTATCTTATTACTGTACGATAATACATACAGTAATATGATACTGTCTGTGTTGAACAGATAATACTGTTCAACACAGACAGTATCATATTACTGTATGTATTATCTGTTCAACACAGACAGTATCATATTACTGTATGTACAGTATCTTATTATTGTACGTATTATCTGTTCAACACAGACAGTATCTTATTACTGTATGTATTATCTGTTCAACACAGACAGTATTAGATTACTATATGTATTAGCTATTAAACACAGACAGTATCATATTACTGTATGTATTATCTGTTCAACACAGACAGTATCATATTACTGTATGTATTATCTGTTCAACACAGACAGTATCAGATTACTGTACGTATTAT